AGGGGGGATGGAGAGCACAGCCAGGGAGGGAGGGTGGGAGGGAGGGATGCACTTGCAGGGGGTCTGATCCTGGATTTCCCTTCAGGCTTTGCAGTCCTGTTGCTGCTGCAGTGCTGTAAGTAACCCCCAAATGCTTTAAATCCTGGGAGACCTGGTGAGGGCCCGGGGCAGGTGTGGAGGAGCTCCTGGCAGGAGGGGAGCATTTTTCCAGTTTCTCTGTGATTCACATGGCTCAGAAATGTTCACGTTTGTTAAACCGAGGCGATAAGTATATAGATGTTTATTTTACTATTCTCTATTCTTCTGTATATTTGAAAATTTCAAAATAACAAACTTTAAAAGGCTCAGGCTCAGTGAAAGTTTTAACTAAGAGCCCATGGGACCCACTAACGCGAGCCCGGTAGCCTCCTTCCTCTGTAAGCAAGAGGCCAGAAAGGACTTAATTGGCAGCAGAAGGAGCTAGAATTGGAAGAGAGGAACAACTTGCTGTTCCACTGGGATGTCGAGCCCCAGCTTGGGGGACATGCTGAAGGAGCCGGGGACTGCTGGGTGCATTCTGGGTGGGTTATGAGTGAGGGCCACTCTCACCTGGAGGCAGAGAAAAGATGCGCCAGAGCCCCTCTCAAACCAAGGACCCCACTGCCTGTCCCAAAAGCCTCCAGTCTGAGGCCAGGGTCTTCTGATAGCGGCTGTCTTGGGCTGGGTCCCTCCTCTTCCTCAAAGCCACTGCCTCCAGGAAGCCTTCCGTACTTGAACCAAGTCCCATTTTATCTTCATTCATCAGCTCCCACCCTCACCCCCACAGCGCCCTGTTTTTGGTCTGCATTATAGTCATCCACTGCATTTGGTCTTTTCTAAGCATTTTCGGAACAGGCCTCGTTTTCATCGGACAAGAAACTCCCCAGAGGCAGGAGGACCTGAGCCAGTCCCTTGCACTTAAAATTCTGATTTTGCTCACACCTTGGTCCCCCTCTCCCCCTTCCCATTGGTGCTCAGCTCTGGGCTCTACCAGAGGGTCCCTTGCTAAATTCTGGCCTGGACCCCACCTCGGACTTCTCCTTCAGGCTCTCCATACAAACTGGTCTGCTACTACACCAGCTGGTCCCAGTACCGGGAAGGTGATGGGAGCTGCTTTCCAGATGCCATCGACCCTTTCCTCTGCACCCACATCGTTTACAGCTTTGCCAACATAAGCAACAATGAGATCGACACCTGGGAGTGGAATGACGTGACACTCTATGACACACTGAATGCACTCAAGAACAGGTTGGGCCATGGGCTGGCCAGGAGAGGAGGAAGATTGAGGGTTAGCAGGGCTGGTCCCAGGGCAGGGCAACCCTGCCCAGGAGGACGGGCGAGGGCCCCAGTACCACCTCTGGGTGGAAGATTGCAGGGCCTTGGCTTCAATGGTAGGAGGTGCAGAAGGTGAGTGTTGGGCAGTATGTGGGGTGATGACAGAGTAGACTGTAGAAGGCACTGCTGAGCTCCCCTGCGAAAGGGAGCCCTCTCCTGCCCCTGAGGGTGCCTCTCTAGGGAGCAGGAGCCATGCTCACGGCTTTACTTTGCAGCACTCTGTCTTCCCCGCTGGGGGAACAGAAATGGACAGCGTCCCACAAAGTCTGTGACCTCTTAGAATACTAAATACTGGGGTTGGGAGTCCTCAGAGGCCTAATCCAGCCTCTCACCCCAAGCTAAAAACCTACTATGGCATCCCAGACATGGGGCCACCCAGTGTCACAACAACTTCATTCTATCCCTGCCCCCCAACCTCCTTGTGCCCCACAGGAACCCCAACCTGAAGACCCTCCTGTCTGTTGGAGGATGGAGTTTTGGCTCTCAAAGGTAGGAGTCATCCCCGGTGGCAGGACTATCGAGGACGATGGAATCGGAAGGAAGAGGCCTGGGCTTCTCCCGCCCACTGTATGGGGTTACCGGGCACCAAACTGGTCAGGCACACAGGCCTAACTGGTCTTCAGGGAACTGCCTGCCTGCCTCACATGCAGTGAGGAGCGCAGAGCCCAGAGAGGGAGAGAGACCCCACCAAGAGTCACACAGCAAGTTCACGGTGCATCTCAACTGCCTCACACGCAGTGAGGAGAACAGAGCCCAGAGAGGGAGAGAGACCCCACCAAGAGTCACACAGCAAGTTCACGGTGCATCTCCTGACCCCTGCCAGTGCTTTCACTACTTCCCAGACCTGCGAACGGAGAACTGCGGCTACTGCCGTAGGGGCTGGAAAGAGAGGGAGGGAAACCAGCGGAGAAATTGGGGGGTGTAGAGACCTTGGGAGGACTCCCTGGAGTAGGGAGAGTTGGAGCAGGGCTTGATAAGGAGGTAGGGTATGGCCATAACAGCTCCCACTTATCGAGTGCTTACTGTGTGTCAGGTCCCCCTTCCCACCGTCATCACACGTCATCCTCCCGACAGCAGGTTGAGATGTTATCATTATCCCCATTTTGCAGATGAGGAAACTGAGACTCAGGTTACAACTTGCTCAAAGTGGCTGGCTAGTAAATGATAGAGCCAGGCTTGGAAACCAGGGGTGTCTGGCTCCAAAGCACATGCTCTTTCTAAGATGCCCGGAGGTGGGTCCTGTCCCATCCATGCCCTCCAAGAGCGGTGTGAGCTCAGGCTCCTGGCTCCCCAGGCCCTGGAAACTCCACCAGAAAGCCAAGGCACCTAGTATATCAGTGCTAAGCATACTATAAGAGGTGATTTCGGTCCTAGATTTTCCAAGATAGCCTCCAACACCCAGAGTCGCATGACTTTTATCAAGTCAGTGCCACCGTTTCTGCGGACCCATGGCTTTGATGGTCTGGACCTAGCCTGGCTCTACCCTGGACGGAGAGACAAGCGGCATTTCACCACCCTGATCAAGGTGCTGGTCAGGTCGAGGAAAGAGCAGGGAGGTGGGCACGCATCAGGGAGTGGGGTGGGCTAGAAGCTGTCTTCAGCTGATGTCTTCCTAACCACAGGCAGAGAGGGACTTCAGCTTCCTCGCTGCAGGGTCCTGGACCCCGTGCCCTGCAGATCTCACACAGCAAGGAAGGCATCTTGTGACAGGGAGTGAGGCAGGGTGGGGTCCTGAGGGGCAGAAGGTCATGACTGAGCAGAGCCCCTGCTCATCACTGCCCACTTGGTGCAGTGTCCATTGTCCACTGTTCAGCCCCGTTGCCCAGCACATGCTGCATCCGGTGGCACTCAGCTCAGTCTGGGGGCAGCCCAGCCATCTCCGTTACCCAGTGGCAGAGCGGGAGTCTAAACAAACTGTGCACAATGCCAATACTAACCATTCATTGTGTGATTTCACGTACCAGGGACAGCACATACCAAAAGATGAATGTCTTCCAACATCATCTGTGGGCCAGCTGGGATCACCCACTGCTCCAGTAGCCCCCAGAACAGGAAATAACTGAGTGCTGAGGGGTGTGCATGCAGTTTTGGGATAAGATTTGTCCAAACAGTTTTTTAGGAAAAGGATGGGTGGCCCTGAAGATGGGCCCACTGATGGGCCATTTTATCATTTCCACTTGCCCAGGCGGTTTGGGGATCAGACCTTCAGGGAAGGTCATCGAGGTGTTCAGAGAACTCAGCCTCCCTTGGCAAGTCTCCCTCTCAGGCCACCTGGGCCCCTTCCATTCACCTGCCTGTCTCCCATCCAGGAAATGAAGGCTGAATTTGCAAAGGAAGCCAAGGCAGGAACAAAGCAGCTTCTGCTCAGTGCAGCGCTGTCTGCAGGGAAGGTCCAGATTGACAGAAGCTATGACATCGCCCAGATATCCCAGTGAGTCTCACCCCAGGCAGCCTCCCCTTGCAGGCAGAGGCCCTTGCAGACAGCCCGTTTCCCCCCACCCTGCCCTAGCATTCGAGGTAGACTCAGGAGACTGGGCTTTTAGTTTCAGATCTTCCAAACGTCACTGCGTGACCTTGAACAAATCACTTCCCCACCCTGTGCCTCAATTTGCCCATCTGTCAAATGGGGCATAAGAATCCCTGCTTTCCTTTTTCTCTTGGGGTGTTGTTGACCTTGAGAGATTTGCTATGAATTTGTTTTGGAACAGGAAGTGGAAAAAGCTATACAAATCCACCAGCCATTACAGGGTATTTTCTCCATGCCAGGCTGAGCAGGGTGCTAGTCCCCAGAGAGGCAACACAGCAGCAATAATACCTTTCATTTCTAGAATGCTGGGCCATCCTCAAAGTGCTCTCAGACACACAGGCACCCCCTTTCCTGTTCGCCCAGCCCCTTATATATGAGAGGACAGCCAGTCTACAGCCAGCAGTCTGATCTCTCCGTACAGCAAAGGCATGCGTCTTGGGAAACCCAGGAGTAAGGAACAAAGACTCTTCAAAATGACTTTAGAATCTTCGTTAGGGTCTTAAGGAGGTGTAGACTCGGACTCAGTGCTTAAACTGATCACTTAGAGGGTGGGAAAGAGGTGGCTCTCAGCCACGTGCCAAAAGTCTCTGCAGCTCATGTTCACACAATCCACCTGCAGTCCCCTTGGCAGGGCGGGTGTGGAGCACCTCCTCCCACTTCGGTGTGTCAGGCCATCTTTGGTCCTGCTTGTTCCCCATTAGGCTGTCTGTTGATGCTATTTTTAATTTGCTTTCACCGAGATGAGCTTGGCAGGAGACGAGCAGTAAGGTGAGGGGGTGGCCAGCTCCCAAGCGTGAGCTGGGGCTAACAGAATAACCCATCCTTGCCTTAAGTGCATTCGCAGGACCTGAGCCCACACCCTGGAACAGCACAGGGGAGGTGGTCCAGCAGCCAGGACTGGGAACTACTGCGGTTTGGGTTAATGGCCTGTCAGTTGCCTGCTTCCTGCTGGGGCCCTGGATATAAGGTCCAGAGCTTTTCTAATTTCCCACCTCCCTCTCCATCTTCTTTCTCCCCAGACACCTGGATTTCATTAGCATCATGGCCTATGATTTTCATGGAAACTGGCACCAGGCCACAGCACATCACAGCCCCCTGTTCCGAGGCCAGGTGGATGCAAGTCCTGACAGATTCAGCAATGCTGTGAGTACCTGGAAGGAGGGAGGGCCAGGAGGGGGCCACAGAGACCTGCCACGTGCCAGTGCTCAACACTAACCCATCTATTCCTTGGTACAGTCCTGCAAAAGAGGGATTATGAGGCCCATTTCACAGATAAGGAAACTGAGGCCCAGAGTCCGTGCATTCTCCATGGCTCCGGGAATACCCACTGCAGGGTGGACTGAGTGAAGGCAGAGGGCAGAATGGAGAGAGGCAGGGGCCTGAGGAGGTGGGCATCTAGCCTCAACCTGCCATTCACTTGCCGTACAACCTGATTTCTGTACCTGTAAAATAGTAACAATCCCTTCCTATGCCTAAAAGGATATTTTCAAGAATGAAACTATAATATTAATTTTAAACTGACATTATCGGTTCCCAGAGGGAACAGGAATCCCAGATGCACCGCACAACTATACCCCACCTGTCAAGGTGGCAGTATTAACTGCACTGTCCTTGTCCTACCCCCACCCAGGACTATGCTGTGGGGTACATGCTGAGGCTGGGGGCCCCGGCCAATAAGCTGGTGATGGGCATCCCCACCTTCGGGAAGAGCTTCACTCTGGCCTCTTCTAAAACGGGTGTCGGAGCTCCAGTCTTGGGGCAGGGAATACCAGGCCAGTTCACCAAGGAGAAAGGGATCCTCGCCTACTATGAGGTAATGGAGTTGGGGGAGAAGGTAAGATTCCCCCAGCACCACCAGCAGCCCCGGGGAAGGTGATCCTCCACCCCACCCCCCACTTTTTCTCCTTTGGGAATAAAAAAAAATGTTCAGTTGGCACAGCATTCCTGAGGAAGAGGAAGGAGGAGGAAAGTTAGGCCTTTTGCAACTAAAAGTCTCCAGCAGGAGCAGACACACAGTCTGTACCACCAAGCTCCGGGTATATCCCTCTAGCCAGCTAGCTGGAGTCTTCCTTCAAGCCCAGGAAAGAGCAATGGCCAAGAGGCAGGTTCTTTGTTCCAGCCCATTCTCCGCCGCTCTCTGTGGCCTTGGGCTGGTCTCAGCCTCACACCTCTGTTGAAGGTGGAGGAAGCAAGTCAGAACCTCCTTAAAGCCCTCAGACTTCAGCAGAACTCGGGGACATTTGCATCTGTTTCACCTAAATTTACATGAAGCCTGCAACTGCGGGACATTTGCATCTGTTTCACACAAATTTGCATGAAGCCTGCAGAGAGAATGAGGCTGCAGAGTGAAGCAAGGGGCTGCAAGAGATTTAGGGAGTGACATTACCTGGTGACCTGCAAAGCCTCAGCAGGACTCCCCACGCTGTCCCTGCCTTGTGCTCTGCTCAGATCTGTGACTTCCTCCACGGAGCCACGGTCCACAGACTCCTCGGGCAGCAGGTCCCCTATGCCACTAAGGGCAACCAGTGGGTGGGGTACGACGACCAGGACAGCGTCAAAATCAAGGTAGGCTTCCCAAGGCCACGCCTTAGGTGGAAAGGGAGAGGGAGCCCCTGCTGCAAGCACCAGATCCCGTGGAGGGCTGGTCTGGGCTCCCTGTGTGTGTGTCTCAGGTGCCTGCAGTCACAACCCCCATACACACCCCAACCTGGGGAACCCAGCCCTGCTCTCTGGGCCTCCCCTGCCAGGTGCGGTACCTGAGAAGCAGGCAGCTGGCAGGAGCCATGGTGTGGGCCCTGGACTTGGATGACTTCCAGGGCTCCTTCTGTGGCCAGAATCTGCGCTTCCCTCTCACCAGTGCCATCAAGGATGCGCTTGCTGCGGCTTAGCCCTCTGTCCTCTGCACACAGTGGGGGCCAAAGGTGCCCCCACCGCCTCTGGCGCCAGCTGGCCGGGAGCCTGATCACCTGCTCTGCTGAGTCTCCAGCTGAGCTTCAGTCTCCCTCCCTTGGAACCTGTGCAAAGGCCCCAGTGCTGAGATTTGAGCTCAGCCCTGGCGGACAGGGAGGCAGGGGTGGGACTGCGGGGACAGTGAGGGCCTGGGGACCAGCACACGATCAGAACATACCTGTTGATTAATGAAAATGCTCACAGACCATAAGCCTGGCATGAGAGGATTTCTTCAACTCCCTTACCCCCAGCCCTCCTTACCAAAGGACACTATCTTGGTCAAGCTTTACCACCAAGTAGCCAAAGACACAGTGGCCATACTAATTATACCCTCTACAAAGCCTAAACCTTCACTTAGGAATGTAATCGTGTCTCTTAACCCACTTTCCTTTCTTAACTCCACAGCTGCTCAATAAAGTACAAGAGTTTAACTGTGTACTGGCTCGAGGCTCAGTCTATCTGTGTGGATCCACGGGACCCATCGGGCTCACCCCCATCTTTCCTGGGTTCCTCTCTCTGAGGTTTGGGAGTCCTGAGCTTGCAGAAGTGAGGCTACCATGTCCTCTGCCAGCCCCGGGGAGCCCCGCTGGGAGGCCAGCCTCCTCAGATTCACCTGCCTCGGACTTAACCCAAGCATGGCTGATGGCTTTCTAGATATTAAAGTCCTTGCCATCCAGACTTCTAAATTAAGTCCCTGTTGAAAGAAGACTTTTCTGTTTCCTGAAGGCTTATCAGGCACCAGGAAAACAGCCTTTTAATCTCAATTCATCTCTTACCACCCATGGGAAGGTGGTGGGAGCTGACCACAGGAACAGGTTAGAGAACACTGAATCCTGGCCCCTCGGGGCCAGAAGGAAATGCAGATGTCATTTTGAGCACCCTCCCTGCCTCCCAGGGCTGGGTTCTCCACAGGGCACTTGAGGGATGGCCTTCCAGCCTCTCCTGACACTCCCAGTGACCAGAGGCAGCCCATTCCGTTGCTGGGCTGGGGTCTGTCGGTGGCCCTGCTGTGGCAGCCTAGACCCCATCCCTGTGCTGGCCCCTTCCCCACTCTCATCCCTCAACTCATGTGTATATCAGAACACCTCTGCTCAAGCTGGCCTGAGACACCAGGTGGGGGGAGGATGGGCTGGGCTGGGCTGAGAAGGACTTGGAAGACCAGCCAGTTTTACAACTTTTGTGAGGCCAGAGATGCCCTCAGCAGGCTTCTGTGAATTCTCAGGGCTCTGGACATGTCTTTATCCAAACAAAGTCCAGATACACAACTCCAAAACTAAAGAGAATTTACTTGTGGATTCCCTAATACGTGGATGATCTGTGAGTTGGACTAATTACGACTTGGCCTGATGGTTTCTAACTCTGGTTTGAGGCGCGGGGAAGGAAATTACTATGGGCGGCCCTGAAATCTGAACCGCTGGAGCTGGGCAGAGCAACTGATCCCAAGGTCACAGCCCTGCTAAAGGCACAGAAAGCAAGAACTTGGCTAGAGCCTTGGGGGCTACCTGGCATTTCACTGCTGGCTGCGGGGCAGGGGGGAGGTCTAAGCCTTCCCTACTCCTTGCCCGCTGTCTGCCCACCAACAAGGGTCTTTGAAAACACAGTGCTGTGAACCCTCCTGGGCAGCCAACCCCCTTCCCCTGGGGCTACCCTCCCCCCAGCCTGGGACAGGCTCTCCAGGGCTGACTCAGGGTCCTGCAGGGTTAGTCACATTCGCTTATAGCTGCATAGTCAGAGGCCAGGGATGAAGATCGGGTCTCCAGGGACTGCTCCCTGCCCGGCAGGACACTGAGTCACCTGACAGAGAACATGGGCACCCAGGCAGGGCCTGACCTGGAGGCTCCCCAGGCCCTCCACTGCCGCTCCCCAGCAAGGAAAGCCCGGGTTGAGAGGCAGCCACACTCGTCTCCCTCTATCCCCAGGAAGGGGGCGAGGGCATGCGGCCGAGGGCCCTAAATAAATTACGTGCTTATTTCTAAATCGTGGGATGTGTCATACATGCTAAAGGGTGCATCGAATGTATTGTTTAAAGAATTACTATGTAGTGAAAACCTGTGTAATGACCAAGGACAGGAAATGAAGGCTCATTAGCATCCCTGAAACCTCCACAATCATATACGTCCCTGTCCCTCTGACTACAGGCAGCCACTACCCTAACTTGTGTGAACTTTGACCTTGCTTTCCTCTTTGGTCTCAGCACCCACGGATGGGCGTGAAAGGAGAGAGCCAGGTTTTGCCTGTGTTTGAATTCAATGCAGATGAGACCACACCACGTCCGTGGGCCTCTCCCTTGTGCTCACCGTTGGGTCCATAAGATCATCTATGTTGTTTTATGCAGCTGGAGTTGGTTCATTTTATTCCATATTTTGCTTCATAGTTGCATAAATACTACACAGTTATTAGTCCATCCCACTGCTGAGGACCAGTTGTTTTACCCCAGATTTTGGCTTTACAAATAATACTGCTAGGAACGTCCTCATCTGGGTCTCCCGATGCACGTGTGTGGGGTTTCTAGGGGCGGAACTGCTGGGTCATGGAGTGGGCATGGTGTCTATTTTACTAGGCACCATCTCACTTTCTCCAAAGTGACTGCTCCAATCCACACTCCCACCAGCAACGACAGCTCCTGCTGCTCCCCTCCTCCCTGACACGGGGTATCTTACACCTTTTAGATAACTACCAATCTCAGTGTTTTATTGAATGAATCAGTCAATGATTAGAAATTTGGTCATACCTGTCTCATTCCCACCCTGGGAACACCTATGCCCGCGCCCTGCTTCAATCAGTGTAGTTTTCAGAATTCTGTTCTCCAGAAGGGTTTCTTCAAGATCTGTCTATGACTTTATCTCACCTCCAAGGGCTAAGGGTTCTGTGTAATACATGGGGAACTGAGGCCCAGAGCAGACCTTAGGGGGGGTCAGATCCTTACCAACCTCCCCAACAGAGACAGGAACCAGAGGTCCTCCTTCCTGGAGGACCTTTTTCTGGCCAGCCCCACCTTGGGCAACTCAATTCCCTACCTGTCTAAGGCCCTCAACCTCATACAGCACAGGTGAGAGTCCCTGGGGCTTCCTGGAGGACCTTTTTCTGGCCAGCCCCACCTTGGGCACCTCAATTCCCTACCTGTCTAAGGCCCTCAACCTCATACAGCACAGGTGAGAGTCCCTGGGGCCTGTGGGGAACAGAGGAGTGGGGATCATGGGGGCAGAGCTGGAGGTACTCACAGGGAAGGCACACCAGGCTATCTGGCCCCAGCCCCCAGTGTGAGAAGCCCTGGGCACAAATGACCCCATAGAGGCCAGACACTCAGAGCCTGATCTGGGCTCATTCTCCAGATGGAAGCTCTCCCTCCCATTGCCCTGACACCTGGCACAGGCCCCCATCGATGTCCCATCTCACCCGTCTCTGCCCTCCCCGCAGCTGGGCACCGGCACCCTGGCTGCCGAGGTCCAGTCAGGGTGATAGACAAGGTAGTGCGTTCCTCAAGGGGCCCTTGTGGTTCCTCCCCCAGAGCTATTCCTGGCCTGGGTGCCTCCCCACCCCCCAGTCCCCCGCCTGACCTGACCCCACAGCTGAGAATCGTTTGCTAGGGGTGGGGCAGCCCCTGACTATATAAGCCTGGACCTAGGTGTCCCAGGCACCCTGGAGACCCAGACCCACCACTGCTGACCTTCTCTGCTGCTGCCAGCCAGCCAAGCAATGACGGGAAAAGCCACCTCTGAGGCCCCTGACTATGGTCCAGAGGAGACTGCATCTAAGACCACCGAGGTGCCCACCACCGAGCCTTCAGGAGAAGTGGCAGCACCAGAGCCCGCTGACAAAGAGCAGGCTCCCGAGCCACAGGACCCTGCCTCTCAGGCCCCCGCCCCTGCAGCCCCCGCAGCCACTAAACCTGCACCCCCAAGTGAAGGTGACCAGAAGCGGGGCACGTGGAGGAGGAAGGCAGGAGTGCAGGCAGTGGCAGGGAGCTTCCTGGCTACGTACCTCTCCATCTCACCCTGGCTTCTCCCTCAGATGTCCCCAGTGCACCACTGCTGCTGACCCTGGAGGATGTGAGCAATAGCTCTGTGACCGTGAGCTGGGAGCCCCCGGAGGAGCTGGGGAGGCTGGGACTCCAGGGCTACGTGTTGGAGCTCTGCAGAGAGGGAGGTGAGCACTGGGCTGAGCCCTGCATACACCTGGGGGAGGTGGGCTTGGAGGGCGGCAGAGACAAGCAGCCAGACCCTGCAGTCTGGTCTGTCTGGGGCAGATACAGAAGGAGGGAGTGCAAGCTGTACTCCCCTCAACCTGCCCACCTACCACCCCTTACCCTGCCAGGCTACCTCTGAGGGCAGGGGATGTCCAGAGGACCTCGGGAGCCCCTCGTTCTCCAGCTGCAGGGGCCTCTGAGCAACAGAAGGGTGGGGGACCCTGGGCACTGCTCTGGTTAGAAGGGCGGGAGGTGCTGAGTTTCGGAGGACCCTGGTGGGGAGGGAATGCAGGGGTGGACAGCATAGGGGCTGGAGAGGGGCCCTGTCTGTGAGAGACAGTGAGGAGATAAAAGAAACGGGTCAAATTCCTGTGGCCGCTGTCCCCCCATTGCAGCCAAGTTCAGCCTGTCCTCTGCCTCTGCCCCCACCTTGCCATGTGACTTTGCAAATATGTCCAACCCTCTCTGGGCTTCAGCAACCCCCTCTCTGGCCACCATGCCAGGACTCTAACATCAGGTGTCTTTGAAGCCATTTGACAGTAACAAGTCAGGGAAGGGGAGCAAGGGGGAAATAAGGCCCTGAGAGCGAGGTCCACTTCCCCAGGTCACCAGTGAGAAGGGAAGTCCCATTAGAAGGGTGCCCGTGGCGGTGTCACCGAGGCCTCACACTCTCTCCGTTCCCCTCAGCCTCGGAGTGGGTGCCTGTGAATGACCGGCCCATGATGGTGACCCAGCAGACCATGCGGAACCTGGCTCTGGGAGACAAGTTCTTCCTGCGCGTGGCTGCAGTGAGCTCTGCAGGGGCCGGCCCGCCGGCCGTGCTGGACCAGCTCGTCCACATCCGAGAGATCATCGGTAATGCCCATCCTGGCCTCCTGCTCCCCAGCCCTTTCCAGGCACCTTATTTAATGGGGAAATTGAGGCCAGTGGGCAGAGGAAACCAGGTGGTCCTTTCCCCATCCCACACACATGCACAAGCCACATGCTATTGCCATCTTGCCTTAAGAAAAGTTCCAGTTTCCTCAGCAGCAAGGGGCCTCTGGAGGTCACAGAAGCCATTTCCCTGAATGGTCCAGCCCTGAGCATTGGGGGAGGGGCTTCCTGATGCCCAAAGTGAAAGATCAAGTTCCCTGGGCCATCTGTCTCAGGGTCCCAATGCTAAGAGTCCATCTCTTCCTCTGAGCTAATCCTAATCCCTCCAGTGGCCATGGAAGCTCGTCTTCTCCCATTATTTACCCATTTCCTATGGCCTGGGTTCCAGATTCTCCCAAAGGTTCTGGAACAGAGAGAAGACCTGGCTTGCCCTTCATTCCACTATGGCCCTAGTGGGAAGAAAAGGGTTTGCAAAAAGCCCATGAAGGCTTCTCCATCCCCAGAGGGCACTGGGGACCTGGAGTCCAGCTGCTGTCCCCATTGCTAATATTTCTATTTGCAGGGTGCATCAGCCTCAGTCCTACCCTCACTCCCCTCCCAGACCTGATCGGGTTTCAGTCTGTTAATGTCAGTGAGTCATTTGGTCTGATCTGAAGTCTGGGGATAGCACAGGGCCCCAAGGTGAAGAGAGACACAGGCGAGCAGGTGGCCCAGGCCTTCTGACCTTCCTTCTTGTTCCTCCACCAGGGGAATGGATGGTTCCTGGCAGAGTCCCACAGTTTTGGACAAGGCCAGCAGAAGGAGAGGGTGTCATGACCACAGGAGGGGTCAAGTTTGGATTAGAGGAAATACTCAACTCGGAGGCCTGAGACACATAGGAACCATGGTGTTAGGGAGCTTAAATTTGAAGACAGTCATGGCTGTCCATCCCAGCCGAGTAGATCCCAAGGGACCCAGGGACTCCTTCAAGGTCACCCATGTTTTTAGTGGCTGTCCCAGAATCTGATTGCCCTCACAGGACCATTCATGCCCTGCCAGGTTGCAGAACATCTTCTCTGGTGGTTTTCAAAACCCAAGGACATTCCCAGCCTTTGAGTCTGGGTGACACATGGCCCAACCCAGCAGCTGCACTATAAATGTGTTGACTTAGCCTGGAGATGCCAGGAAGCCCTCCAGGTTGGAAGGGTCCTAGGCCTTCTCCCAGGGCTCCAGAGAGCTCAGACTCAGAGAGGCCTCTGAGGCCCAGGGCCAAAGGAGCCAGCCAGACTCAGCACCCACTTCTCCATTAAGATTCCTCTGGCAGGAGAGAAGGGGATTTCCTGGAGAGAAGAGGGGTAGGAGGCTGTGAACAAATGGGGAGCAGCCAGGCTCCTCATGGGCAGGCGGGGTGGGGCCCTGTCCGGGATCCTTGGCTGCTCAGCTGTCCCTCCTTGGCCACCTGGAGCTGCCAAGCATTCCCGGCCCCCTGCAGCTGCCCCAAGAGCATTCCATGCCTGGTGCTGCCAGAGCCAAGTGCCTGCTCAGCTAATCCTCAGAGACACAGTGTTCCTTCTCACTGTCTCCTCCTCCTGCACCCTGTGCACCACCAACCAGCTGCTGCCACCTGTTTGCTGCTGAGGAGCCTCAGTCACAGCCCAGCACCCACCCACGGGCACAGGGACAGTGGCTGCCACAGCTTCTCTGGGAATGCCCAGTGGCTTCAGTGGTTGCACCTGATTAGGGGATGGTCAGGAAGGTGGTCCCTACCATAGCATCGGGCTGCATCAGGAAAGACTTCTCATCTGTGAGATTAAAAGACTGTGGTAGAGGTGACAGAGGAAGGAGGGAGTAAACCTGCTCCTGCTCATTAGGAAAGAAAACATCCTAATCCTCCCAATAGTGCCTGGGGACCGAGGAATGGGCAAACAGGGTTTCACAAGGGCTTCTCTGAAAGTCCTCGGCTGGTGGAGAGTGGGGGAGCTGGATTAGCAGGAGGACAGCACTGTTCCCTTCCCAGCAGTACAGTCTGACAGGTGCAGCACCTGCTCCCCACCAGGGGAAGACAGAGAGCCAGCTGGGGCCCATCTGGAGCCTGGGAATGCCTGGGCTGCAAGGCAAATCCCAGCCTGGCAGGGTCGAGGCGCTAACGGAGTGCCCGGGATGCTTACTAGTTCACACCATGGAGGCCCTGACCTCCCTGGAACCTCCCGGCTCTCAGCTCCCTGAGGGCCTTCAGGGCATCGGGCCCCTAGATCTCAGGAGGGAAAGCTTCACCCTTCCCACAAGGAGGCAGCCCAAGGCAGCCAGAACACACCCAGGAGCCCTCCTGCCCAGCCAGCAGTCCTCGCCAGCTGTCCCCTACCCCTGCCTCTGAAGCCCCAACCGGCTACCTCACTGCTATGCTAAATCTAGACTCTCGCTTCGATGCAGAGGCCCCCAAGATCCGCGTCCCACGCCACCTTCGTCAGACCTACATCCGTCAGGTGGGAGAGACTATCAACCTGCAAATCCCCTTCCAGGTGGGTATGCCTCCACCCAAGGTAAGAGCCTGAGGTATGTCAGCAGAATCTAGGAAATGTCAGAATTCCCCCGGGGGTTCTGCGTGGGAGCCATAAAGACAGCCTCAGCCTCTCAATCGTTCACACGACTCAGTTGTCATTCTCCAGCTTGTGGGCAGGAGGGGGGGACCCCCAGGGCAGGCTGGACACCTGGAGCGTGTGGTTCTGGGCAGCACCTGGGGCTCCCACCACAGCTGCCCCCTCCTGAGAAGGACCAATGGGGCAGGCTCCGTAGGACATGGCTCCAGAGACCCCAGCAGCTAGAGGGGGGTATCGGGGTGCTGGCACCTCCCTGAACTCACCCTATGGGCTCCTCCTTGTCAGGGGAAGCCGAAGCCTCAGGCCTCATGGACCCATGACAGCCACACCCTGGACAGCCAGCGGGTGAGCGTGCGCACCGGGGACCGGGACTCCATCCTGTTCATCCGCTCGGCCCAGCGCTCTGACTCGGGCCGCTATGAGCTCACCGTGCAGCTGGAAGGCCTGGAGGCCAAGGCAGCCATCGACATCCTGGTGATTGGTATGAGGCCAGGGGACCCAGGGCCCCATCTCCTACCCCAGACAGCTAAGGGGGCAGGCCAAGCACGTGTGGCTGAGGCCACATCTTCGGTGTGAGACTGTGTGGCAGGCCCAGCCCGCACAGTCCTTCCCTTCACACTCTGGTCCTGCAGAGAAACCTGGACCCCCCGGCAGAATCAAGCTGCTGGATGTCTGGGGCTGCAATGCTGCCCTGGAGTGGACACCACCGCAGGACACGGGCAACACAGAGCTGCTGGGCTACACGGTGCAGAAGGCGGACAAAAAGACAGGGGTGAGGCTGGTGGGGCTGAGGTCAGGGTAGGAGTGTCCAAGGTGGCCAGGACAGCCCATCCCAGTAAGAGTCTAGTCTAACTACCTTTAACCCGACTCCCTGTGTGGCCTTGGAAGACTCTTTCCCTCTCTGGACTTCGGTGTCCTCCTGAAGATTGCAGGGAGGGCTGAACGGTCTCTCTGAGGCCTTTCAAGCTCTGGAGCCATGTTTCTTGAATCCTAATGTGCATGTGAATTCCTGGGAATCTTGCTAAAATGCAGATTGTGATTCAGTAGCCTGGGGTGGGGCTGAGATCCTGCATTTCTGAGAAGCTCCCAGGTGATGCTGAGGCTGCACGCCTGTGGGCCACACTTTGAGTAGTAAGGCTCTAGAATTCTGAGGACCCCAGAGAGGTCACCTGAGTGACCCAGGGGCCACTTCTCCAATTCAAAATCCCTCAGGCCCAAAGCTGGATTGTCCAGCCTACCAGGGTCGGAGGCAGGGAATGAGCCCCTCTGAGGAAGGAGCTACAGGGTGAGCAGGGAGGGTGAGGATGGGGGTGAGAGGTGAGGGTGACAGGGCCGGTCCCGGCAGCAATGGTTCACAGTACTGGAGCGCTACCACCCGACCACCTGCACCATCTCCGACCTCATCGTCGGCAACTCGTACTCCTTCCGAGTCTTCTCTGAAAACCTGTGTGGACTCAGTGCCTCGGCCGCCGTCACCAAGGAGCTCGCCCACATCCAGAAGGCAGGTGGGTTTGGCCCGGGGCTGGGAACCAAGCCAGGTGTCCGCCTCTTCCTCGGTGTCTCCGCAGCCTTCTCCGGGCTGCTGGGAGCAGGAACATTCACTGCCTCCTGCTGCACAGCTGTGCACGCACCCGAACTATAAAGTAATGGATGTGGTTGATTGATTTTAACAAACACATCAGAGCAAACCCGTGCAAATGAGAGGTGTCCCTTGGGAAGCTGTGTACTTATTCTAAAGTGCATGTGGCTGCAAATATCCTAGCAGGCTCTGGATCTCAGGCACAGTGTCCCAGGGGAACTACTCTGAAAGGCAACGTGTTTGTGGGTAGGTGGCCTGGCGAGTTTGCTAAAATATCAAACCTCCCAACCGTACTGTAACACCACATAGATGCCAAGAGCGATCTGGGTGTCACTGCTCCATGCAGGCAGCCGGCCCTCTTTCCCTGTCACCCCACATGCTCCGAGGCCCTTCTCCATCCAGAGCCTCTGTGGGCTGAAGATGCACTCGTTTTGAACACCAGCCTGAGCTGCACAGAATTAGGAAAAAGTTTTTGTTTAAAAAAGGAAAGCCAGTCAGGTGTCCAAAGACAAACAGAGTGAAATGTGGCATCTCTGAGTCACTGGTCCCCACCTCCTGCCAAGCTCGGTGCACCTCTGATTTTCCTGCCCACTCTTCTCTGTTCACTGCCCTGACCCACCTAGGCCCGGTCTCGGCTTTCCTCTGCCTTTCTGAGATGTTCTATCTCTAAGTTCCTGCAAAATAGCCATGCTTTGCTCCCCAAAGATCCTCGTTTTCCTGCCCACTCTTCTCTGTTCACTGCCCTGACCCACCTAGGCCCGGTCTCGGCTTTCCTCTGCCTCTCTGAGATGTTCTATCTCTAAGTTCCTGCAAAATAGCCATGCTTTGCTCCCCAAAGATCCTCAATGATGTCAGTCCTCATTTAGTCTTCTCCACACCTATAACCTCAAATCCACCCCACTTTCTCCTCTGAATCCAGATATGGCTGCCAAACCTAAAGGGTTTATTGAGCGAGACTTTTCAGACCTCAAATCCACCCCATTTTCTCCTCTGAATCCAGATATGGCTGCCAAACCTAAAGGGTTTATTGAGCGAGACTTTTCAGAAGCCCCCTCATTCACCCAGCCCCTGGCTAACCACACTTCTACTCCTGGCTACAGCACTCAGCTGTTCTGCAGTGTCCGAGCATCACCCAAGGTGAGGAGCCAGGCCCTGATGTGCCCTGGGCCAGGGGGCAGGTGGGGGCAGCAGGGTTGAGGAATCCTCCGGGCATCTCCTCCTAAGCCTGGGGATGGCCTTCGAGAGCCCCGTCCCAGCCCACACTCTCCCCAGCTCTTCTCTGACTCTGCCTCCCAGCCCAAGATCATCTGGATGAAAAACAAGATGAACATCCAGGGAGATCCCAAATACCGCGCCCTCTCTGAGCAAGGGGTCTGCTCCCTGGAGATTCGAAAACCCAGCCCCTTTGATTCTGGGGTCTACACCTGCAAGGCCATCAATGTGCTGGGGGAGGCATCCGTGGACTGCCGGCTGGAGGTCAAAGGTGAGGGTCTCAGGAGGGCCGCTCCTTAGGGACCTTCCCATGGATACTCCTTAGGGACCTTCCCGTGGATAGGCGAACAGGAGAAGCCACCTCTCGGGAGCTGGACTAGATGCAGCTGAGAGCTGAAAATCAAGGCAGGAGGCTGTGGGGGGTAAAGCCCAAGGTCAGGCTGCCTGAGTGGCTTTCCAAGTGGGAGGATGGCCCAGTGTGGGGGAAGGGCATGCAGCCTCCAACCTCTCCCACTCCCCCTCCTCCTCCCCAAGATCTAACCCACAGGATTCCTTCCAGCCTCAGCCACACACTGAAGAGCAACGGGAGGAGGCTGTGATGAGGAGACAGGTAAATGGCTGGACCCACTCCCCCTGCCACCTCTGCGGTGGCACAGAAGCAGAGAGGAGGCTGAGCGGGGGGCGGGGCTCCTTAGGGACCTTCCCATGGATAGGCGAACAGGAGAAGCCACCTCTCGGGAGCTGGACTAGATGCAGCTGAGAGCTGAAAATCAAGGCAGGAGGCAGTGGGGGGTAAAGCCCAAGGTCAGGCTGCCTGAGTGGCTTTCCAAGTGGGAGGATGGCCCAGTGTGGGGGAAGGGCATGCAGCCTCCAACCTCTCCCACTCCCCCTCCTCCTCCCCAAGATCTAACCCACAGGATTCCTTCCAGCCTCAGCCACACACTGAAGAGCAACGGGAGGAGGCTGTGATGAGGAGACAGGTAAATGGCTGGACCCACTCCCCCTGCCACCTCTGCGGTGGCACAGAAGCAGAGAGGAGGCTGAGCGGGGGGCGGGGGGGAATGAGAAGGGAAGGCAGTGGTCAGCTCTGCATACAGATCTGCAGCCACAGGCAAGTAACTCGCATGTCCAGAGACACAAGGTAACCCTGCAGGGCCGGGCCATGCTGAGGCGGCCCAGAAGGGGGGCGATTCAGCAGACGATGGTCACAGGGTAGGAGTCTGGTCCTGGCTCTGAGCGGCCTTAGGCTAGGGCATTCTTTGGACCTGTTTCCTCATCAACGTGGGGACAACAGTCCCTGACCTGCCTTCCTTCCCCTGCTGGTTCTGAGGCTCTGGATGAGTAAGGAAGTATCTAGAACATCATTGGGCAGAGCTGAGACCTGGGCACTAGGCCCAAGGGAGGGGGGCCTGGAAAGGGCAGAGGGTGCTGCTCCCCACTGCCCACCCACCCCTCCCGGGTGTGTAGCTGAGCTCTGCCTCACCCAGGGGCTCATGAAGCATGTTCCCTGCCAGGTGCTGCTGGTCTGAGGGGTCAGGTCCCCCAGGTCGAGAATCAGACTCCACAGATACCCAAGACCCCCATCTCCATAGCGATGGCTGGTGGAACTTCCCCTGGTACCTACTGGCCTCTCTCCCTAGAGACTGAAGTCCAGAGCTCAGGAGAGGGCCTGGCAGGCCCTGGGCCAGGCTTCCTGGGCACAGGGGCCCGAGAGTTGTAGAGACTGCCATGACCTGCAGAGTTGTGCCCTGGGAGACAAGCACTCAAATAAAGGTGTGTGGTGTTATTGTGCGGGGGCCTCTGTGACAGCCAGCATCAGCGTGAAGGGGGAGGTGCTGTCACCATGGGGGCTGAATCCAGATATGGCTGCCAAACCTAAAGGGTTTATTGAGCGAGACTTTTCAGAAGCCCCCTCATTCACCCAGCCCCTGGCTAACCACACTTCTACTCCTGGCA